CCCCTGCCATTTCTCTTGTCCCTGCAGGCTCCAGTGAAACTTCTGCCATCCAGCCGGGATCATCTCAGCTGCAGGAGAGCAGCAGATGGCCACCGCACATCCATCTCAGGTAGGGGCTGGGGGAAGCAGGCAGGAGAGGCTGAGGGGCGAGGGATGTGAATGCAGGGGGAGAGGGAGGTGGCCTCAGCCAGTGTGTGTGTGCTGGGGCCAGAGAAGCGGCTGGGATGGGAGTTTGTGTCCTGTTTGAGCTGCTTCCCTGGGCCTTGGCTGTTCCCAGCAAGGAGCCTCTTTGCTTGCAGGAGCCCGTGAGCTTTGCGGAGGTGGCCGTGTCTTTCAGCAGGGAGGAGTGGGTGCTGCTGGACCCTGCGCAGCGAGCGCTGTACCGGGACGTGATGCTGGAGACGTACCAGTGTGTGGCCTCGCTGGGTGAGGGCTTTGCTGCCTTTCCTCCTCGTTAGGCGCCTTTGGCTGCACAGAAGGAGCCTCTGCAGGCCGGACCTAGCATAATCAATATGCAGTTACATATTGATAACAGCAACAGCAAAAAAGGAAAGACTGAGAAGCATGAATATCAGGAGGGATTAGTATGCACAGCAGACTCACAAACGCCCCAGAATCAGTTTTGGCAAACAGGCATCGGTTAGGAGAGAGAAAACCAGCCCTTCTGTTTGTGCTTTACATCGTGCCACCAGCTCCAGCTAAAAGATGACTCCCTGCTTACTCCTTTACAATGTAGGGTTTTGCACTCAGTTGCCATAGACATTTTGATGCCTTGGTCATTGATACATTGTCAGAAAATGAACAAACTGTTCTCAAGTTAATGTTAAGGAAAAAAATCCCTTTGGAGTTTTCAGAGTTGTATAAGGACTCTTTGCTCCAAAGGAAGCTGTGGGCTCAGTGTCATTCAGGCTGAAATTGAGATTACTCCCTGGGGAGGGGGCACAGAGTGGAGGTGTTGAACAGGCACTGTACCAGAATGAAGGAATTGTTCTCATCTCCCTTGTTTCTCTCATTGAAGCTCCACTTCCAGCCCCCAAACCCATGGTGATCTCCCTGCTTGAAGGAGGGGAAGACCCCTGGATCCCAGATGTGCGTAGCCCTGAGGCCGTGCCAGGAGACCTCAGCCCAGGTGAGGTGGTGGAGAGAAAGAGAAGGTTGGGTCTGGAAGAGCCATCTTTGTCTGCATTTTATTTTGGGCACTGTGTGTTATTTGTGGATTTCTTCTTTCATCCAGCAGGAACTGGGATTGCAGATATGCTGGAGGACCTGCAGGAAAGTGGTGTGGCCGAAAGGCGGTGGGGTGGTGTCTGTGTGGAAGAAATCAGAAGGGATGTCCAAGGAGTCCTGGAGCAAGGTCAGGGTGAGCAGCTCATGGAGCCACTGGGAAAGGGTCTGGGAAAGACAGGGAGGAGCCCATTGGACTTCAACGTAGGTCAAAAGGAGCCTGAAGAACCAAGGAACAAGAATGTGAGCCAGCAGAAAAAGCAGAATCCATGCACTGAGTGTGAAAATGGCTTTGAAAAAGATTCCAGCATCATTAACCACCAGCGCATTCGCTCATCAATGAGCCCAAGCAAGTCCTCTGGGTGTGCAAAGGGCTTCAAGAGCTGTTCTGCATTGAAGCTGCACAAGCGCAGACACACAGGACAGAGGCCATTTCAGTGTCCTGAGTGTGGGAAGAGCTTCAGAAGCAGTTCTGAATTGAAGCTGCACCAGCGCTTCCACACAGGGAAGAGACCCTACGAGTGCTCTGAGTGTGGGAAGAGCTTCACAATCAGTTCTAATTTGAAGAGGCACCAGCGCATCCACACAGGGGAGAGACTCTACAAATGTCTTGAGTGTGAGAAGAGCTTCAGAAGCAGTTCTGAATTGAAGTCACACCATCGCATCCACGCAGGTGACAAACCGTACAAGTGCTCTGAGTGTGGGAAGAGCTTCACAATCAGTTCTGATTTAAACAGGCACCATCTCATCCACACAGGGGAGAGACCCTACAAGTGCTCTGAGTGTGAGAAGAGCTTCAGAAGCAGTTCTGAATTGAAGTCGCACCACCTCATCCACACAGTTGAAAAACCGTACAAGTGCTCTGAGTGTGGGAAGTGCTTCAAGAGGTGTTTTGAATTGAAGCTGCACGAGCGCATACACACAGGAGAGAAACCATTTCAGTGTCCTGAGTGTGGGAAGAGCTTCACAAACCATTCTGATTTAAAGAGGCACCAACGCATCCACACAGGGGAGAAACCTTACAAATGTCCTGAGTGTGGGAGGAGCTTCAGAAGCAGTTCCCACCTAACCTACCACAAGCGCTTTCACACAGGAGAGAGACCCTATAAGTGTCCTGAGTGTGGGAAGAGCTTCAAAAGCAGTTCTGAATTGAAGCACCACAAGGGCATCCACACAGGAGAGAGACCTTTTCAGTGTCCTGAGTGTGAGAAGAGCTATAAAAGAAGGTTTAATCTCAACACCCACAAGCACATCCACAGCGCGTGCAGGCTGTAGAAGAATCACAAGATACGGGGAGCCTTCAAAAGCAGTTCCAGCCTCATTACCTATCAACACAGCCACACAACATACAGAGCCTGCAGAGCTCCAAAGGTGGGAAGAGCTAGAGCCAGAGCCACAGCATGATGACCACCTGTGGCTTTGTGTGGTGATGAACCTTACAAATCTCTTGAGTAGAGGAAGAGCTCTGCAGCCAAACTCAATCCTCTTTCTCCTTTGTTGCATGAGAATTATGCATATTGCTGTCCTCCAGCTGCAGTTGCTGTGTTGAGTGGCCATGCAAAGGAGAATCCAGAGTGGGATGTGTCACAGCCATATATGGGAAGAGCTTTTGCCACGGGATCCTCTCAGAGCAATGACCCTAGAAATGCCTGCACTGCAGGAAGAGCTCATCCCAAGCTCAGTCATCATTAAACATTGTCCAGTCCTTGTGATAAGGAAGCCCTGCAAGTGTCTCTGGTGCAGGAAGTTTTTCTCTAGGCTGGCACCTCCTTTCCCATGGGGAAACCCCCTAAAGAGAGACCTTAAGAATTTTGGTGAGCCCAAGGATGAGGGAGACCCAGATGCTTCTCCCCACACGGGAGGAGTTTGCAAAGGAGATGGCATCACTGGCACCCTCTGCAGAATGGATTTAACCCAGGAGCTTCAGATGGCCTCTCCTTGCTACCCAAATCCTGCTTTCCTCTTCTTTCTTCCTGCCAGCAGCTTTTTGGTGCCGTTTACTTAGGAGAGGCATCTGTGTAGGGATGTTCTGTGTGTCTGTGTGCATGTGTTGCTCTCAGTAATTTGTGAGTGCGCTGATGAATCTGAGAGAAGGGTCAGGAGAGCATTAACATGGCTCTTGGAGATTTTCTGAGAATCATCTGTAGTAGAAAGGGAAGGGGGTGAATAAAGTAGCTGAGTTTTACTGAAGCTTTCTTCACTGTCGTCTTGTTTTTTGTTCTTAAAATACATGTCTGCAAGTGGAATGAGGAGAGGGAAAGGTGCAATCAGGATTTGGTTTTGGTGCCTCCTCCAGCCCACTGCTTGCTTTTGGGAAGGCATTTCCCAACCAGGAGGGAGAAAAACAGGCCTTCTATTGGTGTCTAATGGCCTATTGTTTACAAGTCTTGTGTCTTTTCTTTCTTTTCCTTTCTGCTGTCACACTCGCCACCCGAAAGTCAGTGCACCCATTTTTGCCTGTCAGGAAACTGCCTGTTTGCAGGGCAGTATCTGTGTGCATGCTTATCTTTGCAGGTATAATCATGGAATCACAGAATTGTAGGAGTTGGAAGGGACTTTTAGAGATCATCGAGTCCAACCCCCTTGCCAAAGCAGGGTCCCTGCACCAGGTCACACAGGTAGGCGTCAAGGCGAGTCTTCAACATCTCCAGAGAAGGAGACTCCACAACCCCCCTGGGCAGCCTGTTCCAGTGCTCCGTCACCTCACCTAAAGAAATTCTTGCGCACATTAGTGCAGAACTTCCTATGCTGCTGCTTATGTCCATTTCCCCTTGTCGTGTGTCCACGTACCACTGAAAAGAGACTGGCCTCACCACTATGGCCCCCACAGGTATTTATAAACCTAGATTAGATCCCCACTCAGTCATCTTTTTTCAAGGCTAAACAGACCCACTTCACTCAGCTTTTCTTCACAGGAGAGATGCTCCGGCCCTTCACCATCTTTGTGGCCCTCCGCTGGATTCTTTCCAAAGGTCCCTCTCTATTTTGTACTGGGGAGGCCAGAACTGGACACAGTACTCCAGATGAGGCCTTACCAGGGCAGAGTAGAGGGGGAGGATCACCTCCCTCGACCTACTGGCCACGGTCTTTTTAATGCACCCCAGGATGCCATTGGCCTTTTTGGCTGAGGGCACACTGCTGGCTCATATCTGACCTGTCGTCCACCAGGACACCCAGGTCCCTCTCTGCAGAGCTCCTCTCCAGCAGCTCATCCCCCAGCCTGTACCAGTGCATGCAATTATTCCTCCCTAGGTGTAAGACTCTACATGTGCTTTTGTTGAACCTCATCAGGTTTCTTACTGTTCAGCTCTCCAGCCTGTCCAGGTCTCGCTGAATGGCTGCACAGCCTTCAGGCGTATCAGTAAACAGACTTTATGATATGAAAGCTTGAATGGGATGAAGAAAGCTAATGCTCATTCTGTACAATGAGTGAGGTAAGGCTGATGTAACACGAGGATGCTGCTCACAATCCTACTCATCTCCAAAGCTGCAGTACAGCAGTCTCAGTGATGTGTCAACATAAACAGCTCCTCTCCCATTTTGCCAGTCATCCCTACCCTAAGGGCAGGAAAATGAACACAGGGCAGAAAGTTCCGTGTTGGGTTGTCCTTGAAAAGTCCCCTCTAAATACCCTTAAATATGGCAACTCCCTTTTTGGACAGTGCTCCTGGAAAACTCTGTCTGCAACACTGAGACCTCCCTCATGAACAGTTCAAGTCTTGAAGACTTGAAGGAAATGCCTTGTTAGGTCTTTCTGCACTGTAATGAGCCCCACAGCGAATGTGGTGTGCATGAACTTCAGGTACTGAGGAGAAGACTGCAGCAACCAAATGATGAAGGTGCAGTCAAAATGCTGTCTAGAAATGCTGGAGAGTGTTGGAGTGTTAATTGGTCCCTGTGGAGCCATTACCAGCAAAGCCTCTCCACATCCATGTTAGAGCAGATAATTGGAGGCCGTGATTCCCGGCAGGCAAAGGCCCTGTGCAGGTGCTTTGAGATCGAGGCAAGCCCTTGGTTTCTCTGATGCAACTGAAAGGTAGGGCCATAGCTGCAGCCTCTGGGAAGGGTGGTCCTGTCCCTCACTGATGTCCCAAGGCTCTCCCACAGTCAGTGGGATGTGAATCACAGAATCATAGAATTGCAAGGTTGAAAATAACCTGCAAGATCATCCAGTTCAACCGTCCTCCCATTACCGTTGCAACTACAAGCCCCTAAGCCATATCTCATAGCCACTCATCCAGATGCCTCTTGAGCACTGCCAGGGGTGATGACTCCACCACTTCCTGGGCAGCCATTCCATTGTCTGACCACTCTCTGAGGGAAAAAGTTCTTCCTTACGTCTAACCTAAACCTCCTCTGGTACAACTTAGAGCCATTTCCCCGGGTCCTGTTTGTTGCCTGGGAAAAGAGGCCAAAGTTTGAGAGTGCAATGAGGTCTCCTCTGCGCCTCCTCCAGACTGAACAATCCCAGCTCCCTCAGCCACTCCTAATAGGATTTGTGCTCCACACCCCTCACCAGTTTTGTTGCCCTTCTCTGGACATGTTACAGGTCCTCAAAGTCTTTCTTGTAGTGAGGGGCCCAAAACTGAACACAGTACTCGAGGTGCAGCCTCACCAGTGCTGAGTAGAGGGGGACAATTACCTCCCTGCTCCTGCTGGTCACACTATTTCTAATGCAGGCCAGGATGCCGTTCCACCTCTTGGCTACCTGGGCATACTGTCAGCTTGTGTTCAGCCAAGCATCAACCAACACCCCCAGGTCCCTTTCCTCTTCACAGTCATTCAGACACTCAGCCCCAAGCCTATAGCTGTATGGGATTATTGTGGCCAAAGTGCAGGAACTGGCACTTGGCCTTATTGAACCTCATCCCATTCCCCTCAGCCCAACAATCCAGCTTATCCAGATCCCTCTGAAGGGCCTTCCTACGCTCAGGGAAATCAACACTACCTCCCAGCTTGTTGCCATCTGCAGACTTACTGAGGGCACACTCAGTGCCTTCATCAAGGCCATCAGTAAAGATATTAAGCAAGATGGGCCCCAGTACCGACCTCTTGGGGACACCACTTGTAACGGATCTCCAGTTGGGCTTAGTTCCAAGCCCTGACCATTGGGCACGCAGCAGATATGTGGATGATTCTTGTCCCCCATGAGAACCAGTGCATGGGATTGCAAGGCTACTTCCAGCTGCATGTAGAAGGCCTCATCGACTTCATCCTCCTGATCTGGTGACTGTAGTACACCCCACAACACTGTCGGCCATACCAGACCTGCTCTTCATTCCCACCCAGAAGCACTCCACACGTTCTTCATCCTCTCACGGGTGCACCTCAGTCTATTCCAGTAGGTCTCTCACATAAAGGGCAACTCCTCCACCTTGCTTCCCCAGCCTGTCTTTCCTGAAAAGGACACAGCCCTCCATGGCAGCATTCCAGTCACGTGAACTGTGTCACCACATCTCTGAGACTGCAGTGAGATCATGGCCCTGCAGCTGCACACAGATCTCCAGCTCATCCTGTTCATTGCCCATGCTATGCGCACTGGTCTACAGGCACTTCAGGGAAGCAGCAGGTGCATTTACACTTGGAGGGACACAGGAAGATTTTGGATGGGGTATTGGCAACATGACCTTCTCTGAGGAGTCCCCATATGATCCTATGGGAGAGCTCAGAGGTTTTCCCTGTAATCTCCAACAATCTCCCACAGTGACAACATCCCTCAGCCCTTCTCTGCCACACTGAATTCCCCTCTCTTGCCTCTTTGGACCTAGTTTAAAGACTTGGAAATCATTCCAGAGAGCTTGTTCCCCAGCACACGTGTGCCCCACTTGCTCAGTCCATCAGTAGCCCATACACCCTGTTTCTTCCTGCACAAGATCAGAATACCCAAAGCCTTGATCACAATGCTGCCCCTTCAGCCAAGCAGCAAAAGGGAGCCTCAGTGCTCCCCAGCCAGGGACCCCCAGTTGCTGAGACTGTCCATCCTTTTTTGGTGGCACTGATATTGACGCAGTGCCCTGTCTGGCCCCCTGCCCTGCATTCTAAATGTTCTTCTAGGGGCATGTGTTCTGACTGCACGGTTTTGCATTTCCTCACTCAAAGAATGTGAGACATTGTCACTGTAGATAACAGCAGCAGTAGGAAGTTTGAGAAGCAAAATGATCGCCCTCACACTGTATTTTGCCCACTGACTGATATTTAGTCCCCTAAGCAAGACAGAGAGTACGTCTGCTCCTGTGAGCAGAACTGTAAGCTCCATTCCATCCATCCCACCAAAT